TCTGCGCGCCGCCCGGCCGGCCCGGGGGCGGGGCGCGGTCCCGCTGGAGGCGCGGGGCGGAGGGCGCTGGGACCCAGGGGGCTGCTTGCCCGAGCCTTCGGGCCTCGGGTCTTCGGTTTCTGGGGACCGAAGCTCCTCCAGGCCTTGGGCTCTGGGAGAGTAGTGAGGGGGAAGAGGGAGCGTCTCCTAGATGAGAGGGGTTGCTGCAATGGGGTGGGGGGGCTGCTCCGTGGTCGCGCCGTGACTCGGGTTGGGACTCGCACGGGGCGCGGGGTGGGGGTGCTCCGGACAGCTGCTGGATGCTTCCCGGGACGCAGGAGCTCTGGCTCCCCAGCCTCTGTCCCCTTCCCCAGCTTGGCCAGCTCCCTCTCAGCACTGCGCAATCAGAAGAAACGAGGGCGATCCTGCGGTAGGAGCTGGGGAAGGAGGGCCGGGATCAAGCCTAAACCGGGTTCCTCCCCCATCGGCAGATTTCTCCGGAGACCCACCGCCCACAGCGGCCTCTGCCTCCGCCCTCCTCCTCCTCCCCATCCCAGTGCGAGCCGAGGAGAGAGGGACCTTGAGGTCCCTTGGCCTCCCCGCAATGGAGGAGGAAGGACCCCCGCCCTCGCCCCACTGGTGACCGGGCGGTGTCACTGCCTGCATCCTCTCCGTGGCACACACTGGAGGGGCCCACTGCTCACCACCTAGACCGGCGCCCGGTGGGGTCCGCCCCAGGCCTGCTGCTTCCCCTCTGCAGGTCTAGTCAACCTCCCCCCCAGAATGGACTTTTCCCTGGATTCTGAGCTGAAGAGGGAGGGGAGGGAGGGGTGGGAAGCAGCTTCCCTCCCTCTTTGGCTGAAGGGCGCCACATAAGGTGTAAGAGCTGCGAGTGGGACTCCGACCTCGACGCTCCCCGCCTGGCGGGGGCGTCCTGCCCACCCCCAGACTGCATTACCCTTCGGTCTCCTCGTCTGTCCAGTGGGAGGGTGAGCGGACTCCTACCTCCTGGAGCCCTAGTGAGCAAGTCAGATAACACCTGTGGAAGCTCTCTGAGTCCTGATAAATGTTATTCCTTCCTCGACTTCCCTGGCTTTAGTGGAGGGCGGGGACCCCAGAGAGATTAGTCCGGGCACTGGAAGACGGCTCTCCTAGGTCCGAATGCTGCCCTGTCTTGGTCAGCCCCTCCAGGACTATCTGTCTTTTGAGGACCTATCCATAGACGTGTTAATGACAGATTATTAGGGGAACAATGATATGGAATGATGGCAGCAGTAGACCTCTTTGCATCCACACCCTGTCCCGCGCTGGAGACCCTAAGGACACACAGGAGGTCCAGTGTGGAGGGGAGGGGCGCCTTCCCCCGAGCACCCAAGAAAGGAGCTATCAGTTCCCACCCACAGCTCTTCAGCCCATGTGCTACAGGAGATGCCCGCACACGTGCACATGTGGGCCTGCCACCTCCCTAACTCCCAGAGGCTCCCCCCACCACCACCCTGGGAGACAGAGTGGTCAGGCCCTGGGAGGGGAGGCCCCCAGACAGACAACTCCTGAGGCCCAGAGAGCGGCAGTGGAGGGAGCTCCAGGTGCCCACAGCCCTGCCTTAGGGACCCCCACCCAGGTCTAGCCTGTCTGCCAGCCAAGCCCTCCCGTGGCTCCTCTCTCCGGCCCTACCCACATCCCCTGTAGGGAGTCTCCTGAGCGCACCAGCCTCGCACAGTCCTGCATGATCCAAAGTTCTACGGAGGAACCAGGGCTCCAGACCAGCTCTACCCCTGACTCGGTTTTCTCTCACATTTCCTCCTCCTCTGGGCCTGGGGCACTTCAGTGACCTCTCCCATCCCTGGAGAATTCACAGGTGTGTGGTCTTTGAAAGTTCACAGAGCGCTCTCCTGTGATTTTGATTATCCTGCCAGATAGGTATTATCATTATTATTCTGCTCATTTTCCAGATGCAAACAAGGAGATCAGAGAGGTTCAGCAGCCTAGATGGGGTCACACAGCTTTGTAAATGTTGAGGCTGGCCAGGCGGGCCTGGGAACTTCTGATGACACCGCACACCTCTCTGTGGACATCTGAGTACACAGGGCCCCTTTTAGACATGAACCAGCTGCCCACACCGTCCTCTTCAGGTTACTGGCTGGACCGGCGCCAGGCTTTCGGACACAGGAAAATGGGCCAAAAGAAGACAGAAACACGGGGTAGCAAGAGGGTAAAGAGGAGGCCAGGGAGGAAGTTCAGCCGGACGCACTCCATTGCTGGAAGGTCATTACCAGCTAAACATCTGGTTGCCAGCACCACATCTCCCAGGTATCCTGAGTAGGTCTTTGGACCCTGGAGTTCTGTCCTCCAGTCTCATGACCCCCTGGGATGAGGGGCGTGGCTCATTTTAAGTCTTTCCCAGAACTGGTGTCTGCCTGGTGGCTCCCTCTGGGAGAGGCTCAGACCTGAGTTGGATTACGTGAGCCTCACAAGGATCCAGAGGGACGGGGCGAGTGCTGGCGCTCCTACCCTGCAGGACAGCCGTGCACCACCCCTGGGTACAGGGCCCATGGGAACAGAGTTCTCGCTTAGCCCCTGGGGCCTTGGCTGGAGCAGTGCTGGGTCCCAGAGACACTCACTCAGTTCTTAAGGACTTGCTGACTCCGCACAGAACTGCTGGACAGAACATCCCCTGGCCGCAGCCCAGGGCTGGCTCCTCCTTCTGCCCCCTGCCTCCTCCCCCCCCCCACGGGAGGCTGATCTGCACCGCTTGTCCATCCGTCTGAGTCTAGCTGGAATGGGTGAGACTACAAAACAGCTCCAGGGATCAGTGCTCTGGAGATGCTCTGAGTAGACCGTGGTGGGGAGGAGGGTGCCCCGGTCCATTCTGCATGGCTGCCCAGGACAGGGCGGAAAGGAGGGTGGGATGGAGGCACCAGAAGTAAAATCTCTCCTATTTTCTACAGTATTTACTTAATCTTATGATAAACACTCTTCAGTGATCATTCATCGTGAGGCTCAAGCCGTAGAAAAAGCGCTGAAGACCATTTTATTTACCAAGAGACTGTGTACTGGCACTGTGCCAGCTGGACACGGCAGAGCACTGTTCGCAGCGCACCACAGCCCGTCAGTATCTGCCTGGGGCCTGCCCTGGCTTCCTGGCCTGGATCCCCAGGCCACTCTCCTCACCATCCCTCCAGCGAGGCCGCGTGCTGCTCCCTCGGGGCTCCCCCCCACCCCGAGACTGCCTGCCCCGCCATCTCCTGCTCCACCTCCTCACTCCACTCAGCGCTTTGTTCAGGTCGTTGACTGCCCTGTTTAAACCTGCCCCCAATGCACACACACTGTATCCCCTCCCTCCTGACTTCCTGCACCACACACATCGCCATCGAAAAGTCTTGATTTTCTCCTTATTTCTCGTCTGACTCCTCTACTAGAATGCAGGCTCTGCGCCGGCAGGCAGTTTTAGCTGTTTCTTTTACCCCTGTGTTTCCAGCACCTAGACTGTTGCCTGGCACAGTCAGTCGAGCCTCCGTAAATAATTGTTGAGTGAGTGGATGAAATGGTAATGCAACTGACAAAAACTGGGAGGTGAAAAAGGGTCACACGAGAGGTTCCCATTCTTTCATTGTCAAGAGTCAGCAGAGGCGATGGAGAGTAAATTAACGAGTGAAGAGAGGTCCAGGCGTGTCGTTTGCCGTGATAATGGGGGGTCGGGAAGAAGCTCGGTGCTTAGCGCACGAGGGGCTGGCTTCAAGCCCCAGGACCTCCATTAGAAAAATAAATAAACCTAATTACCTCCCCCAAAACAAAAACAACTAATAAAATTAAATTTAAAAAATAAAAAATAAAATAGTTGGATAAAATAAGAATAACAGCCACTGATGGTCACAAGGCATTTTGGGGCAGTGAGACTCCTGTATGAGGCAGTCACGGTGGACACACGGCACTAAATGTATGTACCACATATATTTTAGAAATAAAATGAGAACCCGGGCTAGCTAGAAAGCGGGGGCTGGCTCAGAGCCCTGAATGGCAGCTCCCCGCGGTGGGCACCCACGCCTCCTGGAGTGGGGGGGTGGGCACCACAGCCCAGCAGACCCCAGGGCAGAGTGTGCAGCCCTCAGACCTGTGTGGCCCCCCGCCCATTCGCACCCCAGGAGACACGGGAAGCTGCAGCTTCCCCCAGGGCCCCGGGCAGCTGTCCCTCTGTCCCTGGCAGCTGGGATTAGAAGACTCAACCAGGCTGCCTGGATTTGACTCCCAGGAAGGAAGAGGCCTTGCGATGTAGACCACTGCTTCTCAGGCTACAGTGTGGACTCTGATTCGGTAGGTCTGGGGTGGGACCCGACAGTCTGCTTTTCTAGAAGCTTCCATGGAACACACTGGTAGCAAGGGTTTAGAGCAGCAGTTCTCAAAGTGAGGCGGCAGCAGTAGCAGCAGAGTCACCTGGGAACCTGCTGGAAACGCAGATTCCAGGCTCCACCCCAGACCTTCCAAGTCAGAAGCTCTGGATCTGGCCCAGCCATTTGCGTTCTAAGGAGCCTCCAGGTGGTTTTGATGCGCCGGAAAGCGTGGAACACGCTGATGCAGAGGAAGGGGCACCAGCTCCGTGCTACCCTCTCTGACCGCAGTTTCCTTGTCCGTAAAAGAAAGGCTGTCTAGCCTGTGTTAGATCTGCAGGACGGTCTGGCCAGTTTATGGGGCCCGGGGATGTCTGTGTAGGTTGACTCTCCCGCCTCGTCCGTCCCAGGGCCCGGGCCCATTAGGTCAGGCAGCCCCCTTCACCTGCACGGGCCTGCTCACAGCCGGCTCCCTGCATCTCCTCCTTCCGGGCCCCCTCAGCTCCCTCAGTCTACAGGTCTGTCCTCCTCTCCCGGGGTGACCCCCCAGCCGACCCCTCCCCGAGACTTCTCCTGACCTGCCCGCATCCCTTTGATGAAGAGCGCTTTGTTCTAGGGCTTTGGGTTTTCCGGGGATCTGCTTTTCTACAAAGAGTCAGGAGAGAACGGATCAAGGCTTCAAGCCTCGAAGGATTTGGGTTTTACAGGCACCATTGCGACAGCCTTCAGTGGGCAGAGCCCCACAGCTGCCGCCCAGACTTGCTCCCAGGCCAGGCTCTCTGGCTGGAAATCCCCTCCCACGCTCAGCCCTTTAATCACTTTCCAGCGCAGTGACTTTCCTGACTCAGCAGGGATCCCTTTCGTCTCGGGAGCACCCGCTGCCCCCTCTGCTGTGGCGGAGTCTGGGCTTGAAGGCGTTCGAGCCCAGCCTGGGTCTGGCGGAGGTTGGACTGTGGGCTTGGGGTTCAAGTTGGGGCCTGCAGAAGTGTCCCTTTTCCCACGTCACCCCCGGCATCCAGGAGCCCCCGTTGTAGGGGCAAAGGGGCTGCCCTGGGACGACCCTCGACCCTCGTGCTCGGGGGACACTGGGTCGGGGGCCAGGCCAAACCCCGACACTGTAGCTGCTGCCTCGTTTGTGGCTTCGTCCGCCTGTTACCAACAGTGATGTGTGCTGGGTGCAGGTGATGCCTGAATGCATCCTTGCCGTAAAAAGCTCAAGACCAGAAAGTGTCTGAATCACCCCGCCAGTCCCCCCAGCCCCACAGACACGCGCTTAGCCTGGCTTTGCTCGTACACACTCGCACCTGGATGGCAGCAGCGCTCTCCTTGGTAATGCGAGGGGCTTGTCCGAATCCCCTTCCAGCTCTGACGGTCCCTGCATCGGTGGGGGCTCTTCCTTCCCTCCTAAGGGGCAGACACTCACAGGACATCACTAAAGTCACGCAGGGTGCAGGGTGCGTAGAGGGAAAGGGGTGGAGGGAGTGTCCCCGGTGGTTCCTTCTAGAGGGGGGGACGTGGGCGACAGCTTCTCCCTGCTTGCCTTTGACCTTCAAATGTTTCCCATGAGGGTTATGAATCTTCACATGTATTGTTTTGATAACTGAGATGTTCCGTACGTCTTGCTGTCAAGACCAGGCAGAGAAGGCTGTGAGTTGTCCAGCCTGGGACTGGGGTCAAGGAGAAATGAAGAGATGGCTCGCTGTGGAGGGGCTGATCCACAGGGAGACCTTCCCTGTCTGAGTGAGTCCTTCCAGTGTGAGTTAAGTGCTCTGTGAGCCAGGCCCCGGGCTGGGCACTCAGACCGCCATGGTGAATAGTGGACCACAGTTTCCTTTCCATGGGGACTGCAGACAGGCGGAGGCGGAGTTCGCATACTCGGATGACTCCTTATTCCAAAAGAAGATGCTCCCTCTTCCCAAGAGGATCCCACAGGTAAGCCTTCCTTCTCACCATCCTGACTTTGCAGAGACCTGGTCCCCCGGCCTGGCCGCAGCTTCCCGAAAGAGACGTCCCGGTGTCAGGCTGGTGCTGGTGTGTGCAGCAGTCAGGCTGGGCCAGGTTGTGCTGCACCGACAGACGCCCTCAACCCCAAAGGGTTAGCTCAGTAAAGGCTCCCTGCTCCCAACTCACACCCTACACAGGCATCAGAGGAGATTCTGCTCACTGTGGTCCAGACGGATCAAGGCTGACAGCGACCCCATCGTGACACACTCCTCCAGCCTCTCTGTGACGGGAAGAAGGATGTGGTGACTCACACAGTGGCTCCTAAGTTCTGCCCCCAAATGACACAAGTCATTCTCGTCTCAATGTAGAGGCTAGAACAAGCCACGTGGCCATGTGTGGCCATTTGAAGCCACGTGGACTTCAAATAGGTAGAGCAAAGCAGGGCTACCTCGTGCCTGGACGACAGGGCAGATCTGTGATCCAGCCTAAGGGGTCAGACAGCACAGCCACAAGGGATGGGCAGGTGGGTGTCCCCAGGAGGCAGGCCATGAAGCAGGGGGCCAGGGACTTCCCTCAGTCCCTCAGTGGAGAGAAGCACCCCAGGTGGCCAGGACCGAGCCTTTGAACCCTCTGGAGGAGTCAGGCTGAGGTCACGGAGTGGAAGTGTGGGAGGCCCAGGGCCGGGGCTTGTCTGGGCACAGAAAGTGCCCACTAAGCGCCTTATTCACCATAACCTGCTTCCGGAATTTTCATGGCCTTTGGGGCGAGTCTTCCTAAGCCCATAAAGGCAGGACATCAGAGCCCTGCAGCTCCCCTGAGCCTGGCTGTACCAGTGTGGTCCCCAGGTCAGTGGCAGCAGCGCCACCGCCCCTGGGAGCCCCAGGGAGGGGCCGAGTCTCAGGCCCCACCCAAACCCAGAACTAGAATCTGCATCTTCACACGATCCCCAGGTGACTCTCAAGCCTGGGAAGCACCACGCTGGAAGTAATTTAGGCCAACGTCTTTATTTCGCACGCCACCAGGTTGACACCCGGAGGGGAGGAGGCGGGCCCAAAGTCACACAGCTGGTTCCATCCTTGGCTCCACCACTGGCCAGTGAATAAGTCACTTAAAGATTCACTGCATCTTGGTTTCCTCTTCTGTGACAAAGGGGTAACACAGCCACTTCCCAGTGCTGGTGGAGGGGCCAGCTCAGACACACCCAGGCGGGTGCCCGGGCGCAGGCTGTGCTCAGGGAGGGCGAGCTGCTGTTACCGCCCAGCCCCACACCTCGCACCTCCTGGCCCACGGCAATTTCTTCTCAAGAAGAGTCAGGGAGGCGGCGCAGGGAGCAGGGCCCGGACCCGATGCCTGTCTCTGTCCTGCTCTGCCGTCCGACCTTGAGCAGTTTCTAAGCCATTCTTTGGTTCGTGGCTCCAGCTTGACCATTTGCAAGTGGCTGTAATGACAGCACCGGCCTCGTAGGGCCCGGTGAGGACTGAATGAGTTGGTGCATTTAGGGTCTTCACCGAGGCTGCGTCGTTGAGCACATGCGCAAGACAATGAACAAAAGCCCCCAAGTGTCCGAAACCGGGAGGGAGCAGGGGCGGGCGCTGGGCGCCCAGGGAGGGGCCTTCCTCCCGGGGGCTGCTTCTCTGCCCCGGCCAGCCCCTTCCTGACGATGAAATGGCCTCGCTGGGCCCCCTCATGCCCTGGTCAGGGACCACTGGAAGGCAGGAGGTTTGTCCCCGAGAGGGCAGACTGGGGCCCGCGTCCCTGAAGGACTGTCAGCCGGGGCGACCTGAGCGGGGTGGCTCCAGGGGACAGAAACAGAAGTTCCAGGAAGCCCCTCTCTGGTCATCAGAACTGCTCAGAGGTGGCCCCAGCTGCCGAGTGGGGCACAGAGCTCACGGCTGGCAGGCAGGGTGGAGGTGGGCGCTGGCCCAGGGGCTGGACGATCCTGGATCCTCCAGCCTCGCTGACCCTGTGCATCAGAATCACCTGAGGGCCTTTTCAAATGCAGATTCCCAGGCCCTCCCAGGAAGATGAGTCAGACTCTCCGGGGTGGGGTGGGGAAATCTGATTTAAAGCCTCCCACTGTGGTTCTCATGGTGGGAGTGGGGTCAGAGGCACTGCGGGGGGCGGGGGGCAGGGTGGGAATCACCCAGTAGCTGATCCCTGACCGGTGTTGGCCAGGCCACGCACCACCACCTCGCCCAACCCAGGTCTGGGCACGTGGCCCCGCTCAGTCTCTGCCCCAGCCGGAGGAGATCTGTGCCCTTATTCAGGGTGCCCTGATTGGGGGTGGGTGGGTGGAGGAGGGAAGTCCCTGGGCTGGGCCTGCCTCCCTTCGGTGGAGGGGATGCTGCCCTTCAGAATCAAACCCCAAGAGCCCACGGCAGGCCCCTCCCGGAACCCAGCATCGCCCGAAAATGTGTCTCCTGAGGGTCCCCGGATGCCTCACTCAGCGATCACAGACAACACGGGAAGAAATCCCGGAACGGGCGCAAAGACCCTCGTCCCCTCTTCCTCTGGGTCCTTGGGCTTGGCAGACTGCAGGGCCCTACTGAGACGGGAAGGAGGGGGCCAGGGCACAACCATTAAAGGAGCCACACAGCCCTTTAGGCCAGGACAGAAACTGGCTAGAACCCGACCTGGCCCAGGAAGGAGGGCCAGCTGACCCCAGGAGAGCTCGAGCCTCATGGCTGGCTCCTTGTCGTGCGCGTCAGCTGCTAAATGACCCCCCGCAGACGCCATTTCGGTCAGGGCTGGCCGTGAAAGCGGCCCAGTCCTGGGAATCCCCGCCCCTTCCCCAGAGCAGCTGGAACAATCCTCCCGCTTGTTAGCACATGAGGTTACCGAGCCCACAGACGCTGCCTCCGCACCTGTGCTTCGCCCTCTCCGGCCTCTGAGACGCCCGCACTCCACCTGTGGAGGGTGCATCTCTCTGAATAAATCTGCCCTCACTCAACTGTCGCTCACCCTTGGCTTCTTCCCTGTGTGAAGCCAGGGGCCCTCACCGGATGGGGTGATTCCCAGAGACTCACCCGGAATCTGGGATGCGGCCATTGTCTTGTGCCCAGTTTTTCTTGCATCACTACCAGCATGCAAATCCTGCAAAGAGAAGCTGTCACCTGGGGTCAGAGCTGAGAGCCTGCGCACAGGAGGTAGTGTGCCGGGGACCCCGGGGGGGGGAAGGGGGAGGGGCACCCTCCTCTTCACTGACCCGAGTTTGCCACACACACGGTACAGTGCCTCCCTGCGGCACCCCCAGGCACCACCTCCTCCGGGGCCCCCACGTTACCCAGGGCTTGTGCGCGTACGGCACAGAAAGCCAAACTCGGACAGCCAGTGTTTGCAGCAAAGTAAGGGATTATTTGCAGGTGCCAAGTGAGGAGAACTCACTCTCGTTCGAAGGGTGATGGCTCTCGGGCAAGGGTTTTAAAGGCGGTGTAAGGGAGGGGGCTGGGATGACCGATCTGCTCCGGATCTTCTGGTTGGTTGGTGGGGAGGTACCCAGCGATACTTCAGGGATCCAAATCATCAACCTTTTGGTTCCAACCAGTCTGGGGCCTACGTGCTGGGGGTCAGCATGTAGCCGCCATCCTCCAGCGGGCGGGGGTCTTAGATTCTGCAGAACGACTCAGATGTATGCATCAGATTGTAATCTGCACCCCTCAGGAGGAGCTCAGAGCCCTGTGATCTTGTCCTAGCCATTAATTGCTTGAGTCTGCTCTTGGGAACTCCTAGGGGAGGAAAGATTTTTCTGCAAAAGAGAAACAGGGGACCCGGAGGGGCTTTGGGACCCAGGAAGGTCCTGCAGAGTCCTGCTTAGTTTCAGTCCCCGCTTGCAGGGCGAGAAAGTGAATAACGTTTTGGATGGGAGGTTAATCGTGAACTCGGTAGGGGACTCAGTTTTAGGGGGACTCGGTGTCACTCACTGGAGGCCAGCCTCCCCCCACCTGCTGCCGCTGCACCCTGCCCTGCCCTGCCCTGCCCTTAGGGTGCTTCCCAGCTGGCCCACCGCCTTTGAGCAGTTTCACTGTTCCACTCCCAGGAGGTGTGTCCGGCCCCCTCAGCACTGCGTCTGCTCTGCAGGACGGGCGGCCCTCGAGCTTGACGGCCAGTCAAGGAGACTGGGCAATGGCCTTGTGCTGGGGCGCCAGAGGCCCGCAAGCTACCAGCAGAGGGCAGCCTGTCCCCAGCTTTGGGGACCAGACACCACATCCAGGCCACTCCTGTGCGCCCTCCCAGAGCAGTCAGCGAACCAAGAATCTGACTGTTTATGGAACCGTCCATCCATCCCTCCAGCCAGCCCCTTGATGCACAGACCCTTCTGGGAGAACGTCTGGTGGCCACACCCTGGGCTGGATGTAGAGAAGTTATCAAGAGGATGGAGCCCTGTCCCCGCCGGGAACTCACAGCCCCAGACGTCACCTTGCACTCACCCACTGCCCTACAGTGCCCACCGGTCTTACACCAACCTTACGAGCTTACGTGTTCAGGGCCCATTCCCAGAGTCACGGGGGGGTCCACCAACGTCACTGTCGGTCTGGCCGTGTGGATGTTATGCAGACTTGCTATTGTTAAAGCATCTGCTTACTGCCACTCTGTAAAGAAGCCCAGCCCCAAACATGGGACAGGCGGCCCTCAGGTGAAGGACATTGCGAGCCCTCAGGTGAGTCTGGCCTGCTGCGGGCGGGGCTGAGGCGGCCTGCCAGGGGCTAAATGTTTGTGTCTCCCCAGAATTCATCCATTGAAATGCCAGCCCCCAAGGTGACAGTGTATGGAAGCCGGGCCTTTTGGAGGGGATAGGGCCTTTAGGGAAGAGCCTATGTGAATGGGACCGGTGGCCCCATAAAAGAAGCCAGAGAGCTCCCTCACCCCTTGTGAGGTACACGTGTGGGGACCCAGCGGAAAGACGGCCACGTACGAACCAGGAGGCAGGCTCCCCAGACCCTGAACCTGCCAGCACCTTGATCTTGGACTTCCTGCCTCCAGGGCTGTGACTACAGAGCTCTGTTGTCTATAAGCCGCTCAACTTACAGTTCTGTCACAGCAGCCGGAACTGATCAAGACAGAAACTGGTGCCGGGAAGTGGGCACCGCTCTGACAAACACCTGAAATGTGGAAGTGGCTTTGGAACCGGGCGGTGGGAGAGGCTGGAGTGCTGAAACGTCTGCTAGAAACAAGCCTCTGTTGCTGTGGACAGACCTTTACAGGAGGTTCTGGTGGGAGGTCGGAAGGAAGAGAGCGTCAGGGAGGACGCCTGGGTTGTCCCGGGGAGCAAGGAGAGTCGTTCTGAGCAGAACGTTCTAGAAACACGACAACGGCCACTCTGATGACAGAAATGAGCAGCACATTGTTGGAAACGGACCAGGGACCCTTGTTACAAGGGGCAGAGGGCGGGGCTCAAGCACGTCCCGGCTCCGGTGTTCGTGGAAGGCAGGCCTCGGGAGCCGTGGCGTTTGGCTGAGGGCCCCTCTGAGCACAGCGTGGAAGGAGCAGCTTGGCTCCTCCTGCTGCAGACAGAAGCAGAACTTGGAGACGTGGGAAGTTCTCCGCCTGCCCACACGCAGGAAGGCGTTCGGCTGCGGCAAGCGATAAGGCGATAAGACTCTTACAGCTCAGCCCCTCGAGGACGCCCCAGGCTGTTCCGCCAGACGGTGGAGGGAGGGAGGGCCCCGAGGGGGACTCGGAGAGGAGGGCTGCCCCCCATCACAGCACCACAGGCCGCGTGAGGGCTGCTCCACCCAGGGCTCAGATGAGGGGTGTCCAGGGGCCGTCACCGAGGTGGGACGCAGCTGGGGAACCGGCAGCTGGGCCGTGGGGTGACGAGGCCACCGCGGTGCACCCGGAAAGCAGAGGACTCTGCTCCCGCTCTCCTGTCTAATGGAATTTGCCCCGTTTGGCCTTGGGCTTGCTCGGGACGGTCGCTCCTTTCTTCTCTGCTGCTTCCCCCTCTCAGACAGGAATGTCCCACGTTTGTATTTTGGAAGGACAGAACACATTTTTTCAGAGTCATGGCTGAGGAGCATCAGACGGGTCTCTCCACGTCCAACCCAGGTGACACCTCAGGAGACTTTAAAGTCAATGCTGGAAGGAGAGTTCAGACTCTGGGGCTGTTGGGATGGAGTGAATGAATCCTGGGATGGGAATGAATCCCATCAATTTTGGGGGACAGAATGCTGCTGAATCTTTGTGTCCCCCTCAAATTCATGTGTTGAAACCTAACCCCCAGTGTGATGGTGTCAGGAGGTGGGGCCCCTGGGAGGTGGTTAGGCCTTGAGGGTGGAGCCCTCACGGATGGGCTGGTGCCCCTGGACGTGCTCCCCCCGCATGAGGACACAGCGAGAAGAGGGCATCTGTGAGCCAGGCGGCAGGCCCAACCAGACGCCACCTGCCGGCACCTTGACCTTGGGCCCCAGCCTGCAGACTGTGAGAAATAGTTTTCCCGTCCACTCCACTCCAGGGCTCCTGGGCAGAAGTGAGCCTCCTGGGTTTGACGTGGAAGTTCCTCTTCCCTCTGACCCTGGGACTCTCCAAGCTGGGCAAAGCTCCGAGCACAGTTCTGGGGACTTGCAGAGCCCCTCACTCCAAGCCCACGTGGTTCCCACCTGCGACCTGGGAGTGGGGCCCCGGGGGGCCGGGCAGCAGATCTGGGTTGGCTGGGTCTCTCCGGGCAGCAGTCCAGCCAGAACTGTGACCAGAGGAGGCCTCCACTTGCTTTCCAGCAGACCTCCTGCTAACGTGCTTGCTCCAGCCAGTCCCCTCCCAGCTCCAGGAGGGTCGCGGTGCCCCCACAGAGCAGAACGGGGCACCAGGGCTCTGTTCTAATGGCTTTATTGACTCAGTGAGGAATCAGCTTGCGTCGTCTGCCCTCTAGAACCCCCAGTCCAAGCAGCAGCCCCACACAGTGTGATCCCAGCCCTGGGGACAGTGGAGCCTGGCCCCTCCCTGTCTCTAGCTGCTCCTGACCTGGGGGTGGGGTAGGGATGGGGCGGTGTGGCCAGAGGGGACCTAGAGGAGGGTGGGTGGCAGGCAGGGCCCTGGGCAGGCAGGGGGAAGGGGTGTCCAGGTGAAGACAGGCTGCATGTGTCTCCCCCCACATCTGAGCATCAAGCCAGCGTGTCAAGGACTGAGCGCTGCCCCACAGCCTCAGAACCCAGGGGTTACACGCCCTCAGATCTAGGCTCCTGAATGGGCGGCGTGTATATCATTAGGGCCTCCATCAAACAGGGAGTGCGATGCCCGGGGAGGCAGGACCACATCCTTACCTCGGGCTCTCAGACCCGGGTTGGTCCCCTGCCCGAGAGTGGGGACATGGGTTCCCCAGTCTCAAAGGCAAGAGGCCAAGCGGGGCAGGTGGTCCCTGCAGTTGGTGTCCGTCTGCGTGTCCCCCAGTGACTCCCGAGCTGGGACTCCCTAGGCCTGCTCTGAGGGAACCAGGACGTCCCCGTCTCCCCACCATGGGCACAGCCCTCCCCGGTCTTGCTCCCCTCCCACGGTGTCTGCTCCACTGATGATGGATACTCGGACTAAAAGACAGGACAGGGGTCTGCGGGGCGGGGCAGGGGTGCCCAGAGACCAAAGCCCTGAGGCCACCTGCTGGTCCAGGGGGAGCTCCTTGCAGGGCGGGGCCTCCAGCAGACCCCAAACCAAAGGGAGCCAGACGCCGAAGTTCAAGTCCTTGGTGACATGTGCAGCACTGAAGGGAGGAAGAATCCTGGAGGTGGCGGGGCTGCCAGGAAGGGGGCTGTGGTGAGAAGCGCAGGCCGGGGCAGCGCAGCGGGCGGGCTCACTCGGAGTGGACCAGGGCCCCGGCCCCCTGCCCGAAGCCAAAGCCCTTGGGCCCGAAGTTTTTGGCATAGCATCCTGCAGAAGGAGGAGAGGGGTGAGCATGCCCCCAGCAGCCCACAGAGAATGGGGGTGAGAACACGCCCCAGGCACACCTCCGGGCCCCCCCACTGTAGCTACCCCCGCCCACACACAGCGCCTGGCCAGGCCTCTGGAGCAGCAAGTCCAGCAGCAGTACCCCTGGCACTCCCGACAGGGACGGGGTTGCTGGCTCCGCAGCGTAGCCCTTCCCTGCTTCTGGAATCCTAGGAGGATCAAGCCCCCCGTCAGAGCTCTGGACTGGGAGCTGGGAGCCCTGTCCCGGCCCCTCCCTGCCCCGACCTGCCTGTGACCCTGGCCAAGTCCCCTCTCCCTCAGGCTGCCTCCTCATCTGTAACGTGAAAGCGTCTCACTGGACAGTCCCACTGGGTGCTCCGGGACGGACCCCCAGGGCCAGGAACTGGTTTACCTTAGCCAGGGCACAGCTGCCCGGCCCCACCCCTCGGGCCTCCCGGTGGGGGAACCACCCACCTTTGCAGTAGATGTCGCCGTCCTTGTCGGCCAGGGTGGTGGACTCCAGGCCTTTGCCGCACTTGGCGCACCGGAAGCAGGACTTGTGCCAGGACTGGGCAGGGAAGGAGACCGTTAGTGCTGCCGCCCCCAGCCCCATCCCCCGAAGTCTGCCCAGCGGAGGCTGCTGGGAGGACGGGGCCCAGGGGCCGCACAGCGGAGGAGCAGCCCAGCGCCACCTCGCACCTGGTACCACCCTGGAGGAAGTGCTGGGCGGGAAAGCCAGCAGCTGTGCTACCAAGGGCAGGTGCAGGGACCACCGCCAAGGCAGCTGTCAACCCAGTCGGGGCCAGTCCAGCCTCACCTCGACCATCCTGCCCGGGGCTGCCGGTGTGGGCGCGGCCCTCAGACCCATCCTGGCACCGCCACTCCCTGTGCCCCGCTCCACACTTCCTCCCTGGGAGACCGCTGCCTCCATCGCAGCCCAGTGTGAGAGCCAGAGAGTAGTGGGATGTGCCTGGCAGGGGCCTGGCACAGAGGAGGCCCTGTCGGCGGCACCCAGCACCACGGCGGAAGGAGAAAGGGCCCACGAGATGCGCTGAAGCCACAGAAGCCCCTCGTGGTCCCGCAAAGACCAGGAGAAGCCGCTGGGTCTGCACGTGACGAGGGCCAGCTCCCCCAGCCGGCTGAGCGGCCGGCGAGCAGACAGCTCTGCCAGACCAGGAGAGGGAGAGGCTGACAGCAGCAGACAGGACACAACAAGGCCTTTTAAGGGCAAAGAGACTCCCTCGCTGGGCTGGCCGCTGGGGCTGGAGACTGAGACAGGAAACTACCTCCCTGCATGTTTCCTGGCAGCCAGACCCACGCCTGTTGGCGCCTGCCCGGGGCTCGAGGGACCGCGAGACCCAAGCGCTGAGATAGGCCGGACCCCCGGCACCCGCCCGGGCCCCGAGCACCCCAGCAGGCACCAGCCTCTGCTGCTCCCCTGTCCCGGGCAGGCGGAGGCCTGACCACCGCCGCCCTGCCTCCAGACACGCCAGCCTCTTGCCCGGGGGGGTAGCACCTGACACACTCCAGCTGCTCTTGCTCCTTCCTTGACCCCGCAGAGGTGGCGCCTCTCCCTCCCTCTTACCCCTGAGAGACAGCACGACCCTTCCTTCAACTCAGGCCCTGTCCAGGTAACAGAAATACCGACTCGTAGGTACTTCTTGGTGACTTCCTGTCCTCATAACGAGACACAGCGGAAAACACCAACTTAATAACAATATAATAATGTCTCCTGTTTTCGTATCCCTTAGTCAACGGCAAGGGTCTTCACTCCAACCACACAAGCCCCAAAAGTCATAAAAACAACCACCAGGGTAGCTGGCCCGTGTCCACCGCAGCCCGGCGCGACCTCGCCCAGCGGGGCCCACGCCAGCTCCACTCTAGGTGCAGGACGGAGGCTCGGGTAGGTGAGCGATCGGCCCGCGGCCACACAACCAGCAAACGGCAGGCAAAACTGGGTTTCAAACCAGGTTGCCTAGGGGCTCACTTGTCCTGCTAGGATTGGGGATCCCTGCCCGCCAGACAGCCGTGGACATGGGCTCCGAGAGGTGAACGGGCACGAGCAGGGTTCACGGCAGGGCGGGCGGGGTCTTGGGAGTCAGGCGAGCCGGGCCTCGCCTCGAGCCTGGCTGTTCCCGCTGAAAAATCTGGCAGTCTTTAACGCCTGTGGGTCTCGGCTTCCTTATCTGTGAAACGGGGTGACGCCCCGATCTCCAGCGTGACTGAGTGCTGGACAGAGACCCGCCTGGGCTGGACTTGCCCTACGTGTGCGTTTCCTGTCCGATCCCCCTGCCCCTCCCGGCCCTTCCTCAAGTTTGCAGTCCTGGAAGCCAAGCCTGTGACGCCCGCCAAGCCCCTCCACACCCTGGGCCTCACACGGAGACCCAGCACCCCGTTCTGGCCACACGCCCTGAAGATGCCCGTCCTGTGACTCTCTGGCCGCTAGTCTGAGACGGCAAGCCCCGAGCCGGGGCTCTCGGGCCTCCTCCCTGCAGCCTCGCTGGGGGGTGACTCCCGCTGCGCTCTGGGGGCTGGGGGCCACGGCGGAACCCCACGGGGGAGGGCAGGCACGCCAGTGAGAAAAAGCTAGCAAAGGCCTCCCAGAGGCTCCGATAGGCCCGGGACCCTGAGGGGCTCTGCCCTGGGAGCACGTGGGTGGATTTCCGAGTCCACACCCTATAAAACAGGAGATATGTGGGTTCTCAGGTGGTTCCTAACATTTTCGGTCGCAAACCCTTTTGAAAATCTGACGGAAGCCATGAACTGTCTTGCCGGGAGAGATATGATCCCACAAAACTGCACGCTCTCCTCAGGGGCATCCTCAGACCTGCCCTCCCCAGCCGGAGACGCCATCTCAGCAGCCCCCAGGGACCGCCGCAGGCGGTTAACACCCGGCTCCCTCGGTGGGGGCGCTGCTGAGCTCGCTTCAGAGCCTCCGAGACAGAGCGACAAGCAACCCAGGGGGCCTGGGGGGCCTCCTTCACGGTGGCTTTCAAACAGAAGGAGGGGCTCAAGTCCAGGGCTCGGGCTCCCCGAGCAGAGCCAGGGTCGCACTTGCCCAGCTCCGGAGCCCGCCTGCCCAGCAGCCGCCTTACCTTCCCGGCTCCAATCACCTTCTCTGCCGCGTACACGGCCTGGCTGCACCGAGGGCAGCGCTCGGAGCCGCCGATCTTCTGGGCAAACTTGGACGCGTTGGGGTTGGTGGTGGGCCTGTGTCCAGGGGCCCTGTGTGGGGGAGGACGTGCAGTGAGATGACATCACAGCACGATGCGGGGAGGGGGCGGCGAGCGGGTATGGGCACGACCCCGCCTCCGACTCGCCAGGCCGTGATCAGGATGGGCTGCTGGGCCTCCGGGGTCATCTCCACTTCACAGCCGGACACACCAAGGGTCAGTCACTGCCTACACTGACCCCACACGTCCCTCAGACCCCAGGTTAGAACGCTGGAGCCGTGCAACCCTCTGTTTGCCAAGAACCACCCTCCTCTGCCCGCCTCCTGCAGCCTGTCTACTGTGCCAGTGTTTCCGGGAGAAGTCAGCTGGCAAACCCGTCCACGGGGGCCAGGACCTTGGCTGAAATGTGGGGACCCCTCCATCACTTCCATCCATCCCCCCGGGCTGAGGAGCTGGCCAGGCCGACCACCAGCACCCCCATTCACAGCAGGCCAGTGGTCAGTGGGTGCTGTGGACCTAGTGACGCCCTGTGTGCTTCCAGGGACTAGACTGACTTCCCCGGAGCGGGGGTGAGTGGGGTCCGGCTGGCACACTCACTGGCTGTGGCACCCAGCAAGTCACTGAGACTGGCTGGGTTTCCTCATCTGTGGAGAGAAGAGGCAGGACCCTGTAATTCTTGGGGTCCCTCCCAGCTCTGACGCCCATGAAAAGAGAGGCTGCAGCTGCGTTCAGGGAAGAGCCAGCCTGTTCTAGTCCTGGCCCCTGACCCCTGCTGCTCCAGCTGGCCCGACACACAGTAGGTGCTCCGTGCTCCGACCTTCCACACTGGGCGGGGGGTGGGGGATGGGGGTGGGGGGGCAAGGCATTGGACTCACTCCTCCTGCTTGATGCCCAGCGACTCCCCCCGGTCCATGCTCAGCGTGCCAGCGCCCTGCCCGTAGCCGTAGCCCTTGGGGCCATACTTCTTGCCGTAGCAGGACTTGCAGTAGATCTCCTCGCCATGCACGGCCACGGTGGTGCTGTCCAGATTCTTCTTGCAGACCACTGTAGGGGGAGGAGGGGAGGACTGAGCCGGTGGGCCCTGCAAGCCCCCTGCCCGCTGCAGCAGAAGCTCTCTGGGGCTTTGCATACACAGCATCCTGGTCTTTCAGGAGCCTGGAAGTGGAGGTCAGGGGGCCAGGGCGCAGGAGGAGAGAGGAGGGGTCTAAGGGGGCTGGCTGAGCCCCTCTCCCAGGAGCCGCCTGGGCCCTCCTTGGTCCTCCCACCCGCAGCACTCCCTGCGTTGATCAGAGCCAACCTGACCCCAAGCCACGGGGAGCCAGCTGAGGGCCTTCACTCTGCCCTTGACAAAGAGACCACGTGTCTGACAGAAGAGGAGACGGAAGGAAGGGAGGAAGGAAGACGGGCAGGGTGTTCCCGGCCCCAGCAAGCAGCCCAGAGGGCCAGCCGTGCGCGCTCAAGGACAGGGGTGCAGGAGCAGCGAGGCACCCGGTGGGAAGGCCAGCATTCACTAAGCGCACAGCATGGTGGCCTTTGGGACGAGGTAGAGGCCACCTCCCACAGCCGTGCGAGGCCAAGTTTCTAATCTCAGAAATCACGTTGCCACAGGGGGAGCCGAGGTGGGACGCTGGGAGGAGTGTCCTGACTCCAGGGCTAAGAGGCAGAAACGGGGTAAACTAGGAAGGCCGTGGGCCAAGTGTGTCCTCCTGCGCTCTCCCATGGGGCCTGGGCCCAGAGCCCACCCGACTCCACCCCTTCCCGCGGGCGACCTGGACTGTGCCTTCCTAGCCTCTGCGTCCTCTGGGTGACGCAGACAGCAGGGGCGACCCCAGAAGTGGTTGTGAGAACTAAACGAGAACTTGCGTGGGAAGTACTTAGCACAGCACCTGCACACAGTAGGCCACAGTAAATGTCAGCTCCTATCAGTATCACACAGAATTAGAGCCGTGGGAACACAACGGAGCATTGGGGGTCAGGACTCAAGATCGTCTTATTAATTCTCTCTAGAGACTCAGCTTCCCCCGTTTCTTCCGGTCTTGTCCTCCAGTGCTAACAATCCTTAGAGACTGGGGTTCAGTGCCCCCCTCCTAGAGCACATCCTCAAACACGCCCTTCTGAAGACAGAGTCCTGGGGGAGTCCCTGTAGGAGCCGGCCTCTCCTCCCTGCAAGGAGGCGCCCAGCTGAGCTCTGTGAAGCGTGCTGTCCCCTGGCCTTTAAAGGGCAGCTCTCTGCCCTCAGGGCCCAGGTTGGAGACTTCGGACTAAATAAGGACCCTCTGGCCCTGCCCCTGAGGTCCCCACCTCACTCCAGCACTCGGTGGCCCAAATATGGACATTCTCGCCGCCTCCCCAGGGCTTTGCTCCAGGATGGAGGGACAGGAACAGCGGGCCAAGGGCTCCAACATTCCCTTCTAGGGCAGGAAGGCAGGGGTGGGCCTGGAATTGCTTCCCCAAGTTGACCCAAGTTGAACTGGAAATTCCAAGACCAGAAGGAGGGCGGAAAGTGAGGAGTGGCTGGGGGACTGAGGTCTCCTTGGGCTGACTCCCCAAGCAGGAGGCCCAGGAGCTTAGGCCAGAGGAGACCCCAGGGTCTACAGTGACACTTCGGATGGCTCCCCGGCGTGCCACTTAGGCCCTGACTTCAAGGGCCGAGACCTCCTTGCTGGTTTCTGCTCCACCTGCTCTCCCAGAGGCCCCACCTCCACACCTTGCCCTAGCCAAGGCCCTCCACCCCTGGCCAGCCACGTAGCCTGGGCACCTGTGGGCTCCACCAAGGATTAAGGGGGATTTTGATGAAGGCCTAAATAAGTTTCTATCAAGTCATGTTAAGCAAAAACCAACCAACCAACCAACCAACCACAAAACTCAGTTACAGGTTAGAGTGTACATTTGCTGGGAAAATGCGCTCCAGAGGCCGCAGGGAAGAGGCAGCCCCAGGTGAGAGGTCAGGGCCTCGGAATCCCAAGCCCACAGAAAAGTTCAAGCTCGCAGAACCGGCCAGAAGCAGGGCCTGGCCAGGGCCCAGCGTGACTT